GAGGCCCCAACAGCGGACCCCGAGGGGCACATAGGCCGAGTAGACCGATGGAAGGGTAACCAGCCTAGACTTGGGTCTTAGCACCCACATCTCCGATATCCCGAGCTGCCACGCACGGCGACCGCCTGAGCTCCAGCAAGGCCCGCGCAGCCCCGGCCGCCTCCCACGCTCGAACCTCGCCCACAGTAGCTCGCAGCACGCGGCTACGCTGGCCTGCCGAGGGCCAGGAACGTCTCGCCGCGGAGCACGGAGGATGCGCCCTTCTCCCCACTGCCCGCACAACGTCAGCCCCCAAATCGCACTTGGCCACCTACCTTCTTCTACTGCGCCGCCGGAAAGAACGCCTCGGCCTTGCGACCCCGTTAATAGTGGAAATGAAATCTCGCGATAGAACTCGGGTGCAGAGCGCAAAGTGCACTGGGCGGAAACGGGAGGCGCGAGCGCCTTTTGATTCCGCGGGGGCGGGGCGATCTGAGTGGGCGGGGCCTGAGTGTTTAAATACAGATCCCGAAGGTGCCCCCCACACACACAGCTTAAGGACTGAGGTGTGAGCACTTTCCGTGCCGCTGCTCGGTAAGTGTAATAGTCGAGGCCTTTCAGGCCAACTCAATCACTTGCGGGGCCAGGTGTGGTGGCGCACGTTTAGGTCTGTGTGATCTCAGCGCTCCAAAGGCTGAGGCAGGATCGCAGATTCGAACCCAGCCTGAGCAGTTCAGTGAGCTCCCTCCTGTCTTCACTTCCTTGGAAGGCCGTGGCTTCGAGCCCCACTCTGTCTAAAAAGAGAAAAAGTGCTTGGGGGCACGGGAGCCGAAGGGGCGGGAACAGGTGATTGTTCTCACGGTTGCTCCCGCGCTGCACCGAGGTGCGGTCCCCAGGCTCCTGCAGCGGGCGGCGGCGGCGTCGCACGCGTTACTTGCCCTAAAATACCAGGCAAGGCTGCACGACCGAGGCCGTGAGACTCCACGGCGTGGCAGGACTCGGGTCTCGGCCTCACCGATGGCCCGGTTCCCTGGAGCCCAAAGAACCGAGCAGGACACAGAAGCAGTACGAGAGGCCCGGATTTACTCAAGGAAAGTGTAGCTTACACGCGGGAGTGAGAGAGCGAGTTTGACGCAGCGGCCCATCCTTGGAGGTTTGAGGTTGAAGTACACTTGGATGAGTATCAAATGGAGCTCGGACCTAGCGCCCGAAAGTAACCTTGAAGTGCTCGGAGTTCAGGGTTGGCCTTTTGTTTCTCTAGCGTCTGGAGAGGGATGGAGGCGGTAGCTGTCCATTTGACTGAGTCTCCGCCCTGACGTGGGGAGGGGAAATTCTGACTTTAGATGGGCCTGGAGGGAACCACCGGGCTGGCGAGGCCCGCAGGGCGTCTGAACTGCTGACCGCCGCAGGGTTATTCTAAAGCAGAGTGCGTGCTCCTGGAGCCGCGCTCAGAGGTCGAGGACTTGCGGTGAGGACGGATGTTGAGAAAATGTGAGGGCAGGTTGATGCCCGAGAGTAGAAGGCATCGTGTCCTACAGCAAAAGGCACACCGTTAACGCTTAGCTGCAAGTCCGCGACGTCCGTGGTTGTTAACCTGTCACCCAAGATACAAGATTTTCCCCCCTTCTGAACTCTTGAGCAGCTGCTCCGTTAAAAGGAAACGGTTTAGGCTGGGGAGATGGCTCAGTGGAATCAGCGCTTCCCTGGCAAGCGCAAGGACCTGAGTTCAAACCCCGGTTCTGCCCCCCCAAAAATAATAGGTAAATAAAAGGAAAGTTAAAACTCATTTAGGTTGATTGACTTTCTCCCAAAAGTAGTTAAAAAATAAGCTGTTTTGGGTCCCCACACACACACACACTCTCAGACCTCTGGTATCATATGAAATTAGTAAAGCTAGCTATTCCAAGTTTATACTTTTTTTTTTTTTGGCGCACTCAGTCTGGGAGGGGAGCTGGCAGCATGTGGTACCGCGAACAGCCCAGCGCGCTTGCCTAAGCACGCGCTTTTCACTGCCAAGCCATTTTGCTGGCCCCTCATTATCATTTTTTAGGATTGGACAGACCTTGAAAGTAATGACTCTTCACTCCAAATACTAACCAGTTACAGTTATTAAGAAACGCCGTGCTGTAGGCAGTGTCCGCTGCATTCCATCCACAGACTGGACAACTACCTTAAGGCCCGGGTGTCTGCGTGTGTCCCATTGCTGCCACATGGGGAGCAGGCTTCATATGTAATGTGTAAGGCTTGGTGCAGATGCAAGTGCAGGACTGTTCAAAACAAAGGGGAGGGGCTGGAGAGATGGCTCAGTGGTCTAAAGCACCTACTTGGAACAAGCTTGGCAAAGCACAGGGACCACGGTTCGATCCCCCAGCGCCACATGCCAGCCAGCCGCGCCCCCTGGTGGGCTGAACTGCACACACACACACACACACACACACACACACAATAAATAAATGTTAAAGATAAAATAAAATAAAAAAACAAAACAAAGGGGAAAGCCGGCGAGATAGTTCAGCAGTCTAAGCATCTGTTTAAGCAAGCGCAGGGACCCCAGCGCCACACTCCGAGCTGGCCCCACCCCTTGTTTTTGCGTGCTGTCTTTGTAGCCTGCTACGTTACTGAATTTGGTTATTAAATCTACAAGTCTTGTATACTGTTGATTTCTGCTGGTCTATTGAAAGGAGCAGTTAATGCTTAAATTTTCTTTTTAATTTCTCAACTTTTTAAACCAATTTTGCTTGCTTTATTCTGGTAATCTAAACAACTAATTTGAAGACAACATTATGCAATTTAACAACCATTGTTGAATTCCTATTATTTTGTTTAGTGAAATTCTGTATTGTTTCTAATGTTTTTTGTTAGCACTTTTATTCTCTTTAAAAAATAAAAAGATAAATATAAAAAAGATGTGAAGTATGATTAATAAATTATTTTGGGCCCATTATCTAGTTATTTATATTTAGGAGACCAGATTGGGTACACTAAATAACCAAAAGTAAACACTAGTATTTCATGAAGTTCTAAATGCTGCCTGTTCCAGCTACTCTAGACACTGAAGCAGGAAAACTTTTAGCCTAGATGTTCCAGGCCACAGAGGGAGGTTCCATTTCTTAAGGAAAAAAAAAAAAAAGGAATATTAAGTCCCGAATTTATGCAGTAGCATCCTTATGGAGGCTATGTAGTTTGGAAGTGTCAGAACTAGGAACCATCTCTAGACATGGTGGTACACAGGTGTAATCCTAGTACCCTAAGAGGCTGAAGCCGAAAGATTG